GCCTCTGCCCTCTGCGCCTGCCCGCAGCTTTCACAGTGGGCGCTTTGACGGGAAAGGCTCTCCCGAATCCACAGCTGCTGAGCTTGAGGAGCGCAGGTGGGAAAGGGGAGGCCGGGTCAAGGGCCGCTGCCTAGAAAGAAGAGCCCTCAAGGCGCCCGCTCTTCCCGGAGCCTCTCTCCAGACGGGGGCGGGGCGGCGGGGGTAGGCAGGCTGGACAAGGCCAGCCAGGGCAAGGGGACAGTGAGGCCCCCTCTAAAGGCAGGACCCACAGGCAGGATGGGTCCACAGGAAGTGGGGCTGCACTTGATGCCTGGGGACCCCAAGTCCTTACCACCCAGGGGCTCAGCAGGGATTGCCCAAACCTGTGGAAAGCCACCAGGGTCAGCGTGCCCACCGCTGTTCCCACAAGGGCTGACACCCCTGCCTCTGGCTCAGTGGGGAGGGATGGAGGGTGGGCCCGAGTGGCAGTGGCTGGTGTCCTCGCAGTGGAATCTCGTGTGTGGGGACGGCTGGAAGGCTTCATTGCAGCACATGGGCCATCTCCTGGGCCGGCTGCTGGGCGCAGCACTCCTGGGTGCAGGCTGTGACAGGTGAGCCCCTCCTGCCATCACCACCTTCCTCGGGGTGCCCTGTGTGGACCCCAGCCATCTGTACCCACTGCCCACCAGGTTTGGCCGCCGGGCTGTTTTTGTGGCCTCCCTGGTCCTGGCCACTGTCTTCGGCGCCAGCGGGGCTCTGGCTGCCAGTTTCCCTGCCCTCCTGGCCCTGCAGCTGCTCCACGGAGGCTCCTTGGCCGGGGCCACCCTGGCCCTCTATGTGGCGCGTAAGTCCTTTGGGGCTGCCCTGGTCTCCAGAGGTGGGTGGTTGTCTGCCCTGTGAGCCCTCAGCTCAGGCCACCCCTTCTGCCCCAGGCCTGGAGCTGTGTGACCCCAGGCATCGCCTGGCTTTCTCCTCGGGTGCCAGCCTCTGCTGGGTGCTGGGTGCACTACTGCTGCCCGGGCTGGCCGTGCTGGCACAGGACTGGCGCCTTCTGCAGGGGCTGAGTGCTCTGGTGACCGGGCTCCTGCTGCTCTTTTGGGGGTGAGTGTGGTCGGAGTGGGCAGGTGGCTGCCCTGGGAGCAAATGTGCCTCTCCATCCTTAGCAGGCACATGGCCGAGAGGTCACAGCGGTGTCACTGTCCCCCTCTCTGGCCTCTGCTGAGCCCGGAGAGGAAGTGGAGGAAGCCATGGTACCCTCACCAACACCACAGGTTCCCAGCCCTGCTCCCCGAGTCTCCCTGCTGGCTGCTGGCCACGGGACAGGTGGCCCAGGCCAGGAGGATCCTATGGCACTTTGCGGAGGCTAGCGGTACAGACCCTGAGCATGGCTCCCTGGAGGACAGCTCCCTGGCTACAGGTGAGGCGTCCCCTTGCTGCAGGAGGGCCAGCCTGGAGAGCACAGCATCACACCTGCCCCTGTCCCGCCACCACAGAGCTGGCCCAGTTGGCCACAGGCAGCATCGAGCCTCGGTACCACTCAGTCCTGGGCCTCCTGCAAACCCAAATCACCTGGAGAAACACGCTCATCCTGGGCATCAGCTCGTGAGGAGGGGCAGGCTGGGGCTGGGGCCAGGGCTGGGGCTGGGCCCTGGAGTGGGGCATATGTCCCCAAGTCCCACAGTGAGGCTTCCCTTCCAGGCTGGTTGGTGGGGGCGTTGGAGCCAGCTTCCTGTGCCGCCTGGCCCCACCAGAGACACCCTTCTACCTGCGCTATTTCCTGGAGGCCGGCCTGGAGGCTGTGGCCATTATCTGCCTGCTCCTTACCGCAGATCGCTGGGGTCGCCGCCTCGTCCTGCTGCTGGGCACCCTGGTCACAGGCCTGGCATCCCTGCTGCTGCTTGCTGGGGCTCAGTGTGAGTTTGGGGTCACACAGGAGGTTGTGTTTGGGCTGAGGGGCTAGGGTCAGCCCCTAACCGGGGCTGGCCAAGGGCCTCAGGACTAGCCTGCTTTTTCTCTGTCCTTGGAAGTACAGTTGGGGAAATTGGGGCCGAGAGTTAAGGGGTAGAGAGGATTTTCCAGGACAGAGCGAATACAAGGATCCGTCCCATCTGAGTCCAGACTGTAAGGGCACAGGATGCAATGCAGGCTGGGACATGTCCTGCACAGTGGCAGCCATGTCGTGAGCAGGGTCTTGTCCAGAAGTAGTCAGAATTTTAAAAAGCTGGGCATGCTGGCTGACACCCGCACTGCCAGTACTCTGGGAGGTTGAGGCAGGAGAATAGCATCAACCGGGCACTTTAGTGAGACCCTGTCTCAGAATGAAAAAGGGGGAGTAGCTTTGTGTGAAGGCTCTTGGTTTAATCCCCAGAACTGCCAAAAAGAAAACATAAGAAAAGCACTCAAAATTTTGGGACAATTCTCAAATTTGCAAAAGAAGTAGAAGGAAATGAGGTGCCCAGCCTGGTGTCCCCTGTCCCTGCACTGTGACTAGTCAGGAAGTAGCCCCTGGACTCATTCAGGCTGGTGTCAGACTGCAGGGTCAGGTGTCTGAGCACCTGGGACGGCTGTACCCACAAAGGAGGGAGGTCCCGTGTGGCCAGGCAGGGGCCTATGGGGAGACCAGCAACCCTGTCCTTTGTCCCAGACCTGCCAGGCTGGGTCTCACTGCCCCTGTCGGTCCTGGGCCTCCTGGCCTCCCAGACCGTGTCGGTGCTCAGCAGCCTCTTTGCGGCTGAGGTCTGCCCCACAGTGATCAGGTGAGTGACATCTGCCCAGCAGTACTGTCCCCACATCACCTACCTGTACTCCTGGGCCCTGTCCTGTGGGGGTATGCACGCAGGGTGATAGAACTCAGGGAAGTGGCTCCCAATGGCAGGACAGAATCCTCTGGGGTTTCCTGGAGCCCTTTCCTGATCTGTGTCCCACCGGCTGGACCTCCTCTCCCCATAGGGGCACTGCGCTGGGCCTTGTGCTGGGTGCCAGGTCCTTGGGCCAGGCAGCCGTGCCCCTCACAGAGATGGCCGGCCAGCGGGGCTTCTTCCTGCAGCACACGGTGCTGGCCTCCCTGGCCATCCTCACCCTACTCTGTATCCTGCTCCTGCCCGAGACCTGCGGCCAGGCACTGCCTGTGTCGCTGGAAGATTCCGACCGCTTCCACTGCCCCCAGGACCACCTGCCCCTTCTGCTGCCCTCCCACTGAAGATGGGTGCCGGCGGGCTCTGAGCCTCCAAGGCTGGGGGATCCACAGCGGGCAGTGCCCCCCAGCTCAGTGTGGGTGCCCACAGCCAGGGTTCTCCCTGAGGGTCTCTCCCTGGCCACCTGACCAGATGTGCTAAATAAAGGGAGCTCTAGTATCTGGCTGCCTTCCTTGGTCTTTCTTGGCTTTTCCGGGCAGGGCCCGTGCTTTGCCCCCCACCCTGGGCCCGCAGGCGGCTCTGGCCCTGCTGGGCACCTGCCTTGAGAAACAGTACTCTTGGGGGCAAGGACTGCGCCCAACGTGTTCAGTGTGGCACTCGGCGTCAGGTGAACGGCTCGTTTTTTAATTCGGATTCACCGACGGGGCCTCCGGTGTCATGCAGAGGCGCATCCGCCAGGGGGCGGCAAAGGCAGC